CATGACTCAGAATTGACTTGATGGCAACTGGTTTGGTTTGGTTTTCTGCCCTTAGTTGATGGAGGACATGATTTGCGCTGTAAGCTGACTCTTGGCACAGCAAAAAACTGTACAACAAATGTTTTTCATGCTTTAGGTTTCTTATGAAATTGTAGACTTTGCCTGTTTCCTATGCAAATAATCCACCTCTTTAAAAAAACAAACCCATTGCCGTCGAGTTGATTCCAACTCATAGCAACCCTATAGAACAGAGTAGAACTGCTCCCACAGGGTTTCCAAGAAGCAGCTGGTAAATTTGAACTGCTGAACCTTTTGGTTAGCAGCTGAGCTCTTAACCACTGTGCCACCAGGGCTCCTACTATGCAAATAGTATTTAATACATGTGGAATAAGTCTGTTTTGGCTGAATACCCCCTTCCCTTCCCTCTCTCTGTCTCCCCCTCCTCCTCCATCTTCCTCTCTCTGCAGCTTTGCCAGCTATCCTCTGGGGTTAGGGATGAACACAATCTCAATGTTTGTGGTGGATGAATCTCCAACACAGGGTGAAACTCTGGTCATGTACAGGCTCACCATCTACAGAGAAGACCGCCCAAGTCTGCCCTTGTTTGAGGACTTCACAGCTTGTGGTTTTGTACAGGTAAGTGAATTTTACAATTTCACTTGGCTTGAGTTGGGAACGATCTGTTAGGCCAAGTGAAAAATGCAAATCCAAACTGAAAACTGCAAATCCAAACTGTGGTCTCATTTTAAAAGAGCAAGAGTCCCAGTCAGGCATCTAAAGCGCCTCATTGTGAACAGGTTTTCTTTTTGGTGTTGTGGCTACTCCTTGCACTTGTGTTTGGTGAGTTTATTGTGGTTAATATTTAAAGAAATGTCTGAGTACTCACACTTAGTTATGAAATTGGCTTCACATTTCTCCTTTAAAGTGTGCTGTTTTTCTTGGATTTGTCCCTGGATCTACTTTTGAAGTTTTAAACTATATTCAGTGGAATTCATTTTAAAGAGCATGAGGAAATTTTATGAAATTATCTTACAGAAGGAATACCAGATGAATGAAATTAAATTTTCATGGGTAGATATATTTCTCATTCACTTCTCATACTTTAACCATTCCTAAAGACTGTAGTTTTTCTTCTCAGCGACACATACCAGTTTGTTGCTCTGTTGATTTCCGAGGAGGGCGAATATTACCAGAGACTTTGTCTTGCTCTCTCTTCTCTTGGTGCCTTTTCTAGGAATTCTATATACAACATTCTACACTTCTCACACGATATACTGTAACTACAGTGAATTCCAGGGAAGTTATAATTAGTTCTCTGTATCTACTAATCTGTTCAGAAGGTTTAATTGCAAGTATGTCATGTCAAAGGGATTTATGTGTACTGGGGTCTTTGAAGTAGAGAAAGCTAGGAAAAGAGAGATATGGCAGATGGGCCTCAGTGGGTAGTATGGATACCATGTTTGTTTTTGTTGTTGAATTCTTTTTTAGTATACTGTATTTTTTAGAGAAATTTTAAGTTTACAGAGAAATTACATAGAAAGTACAGAGAATTCCTATAAACCTCTCACCCTCCTGCACAGTTTCTCCTATTAACATCTCACGTTAGTGTGGTATATTTGTTACAATTGATGAATTAATATTGATACAGTAACTAAAATCCATAGTTTGGATTGGGGTTCAGCTGTCATGTTTTCTTTTGAAGTTGAATGTTCAGCTCCAGTAATCTCTACCACCCCTCCTTCTACTATCTCATCTATTCCTAAGAGCTTAATACCACTTTGGGATGGTACCCATAGTTGAGATTTTTATTTTTCAAGGAAACAGATATCTCTAACTTGTGACAAACTACCATTAAATCAAAGGGAATTTCACATTTGGCTAAAGATTGGTCTAAAACAGGATATAAACATTATTCTGAAAGATATTATCGGTGTACTAAAAAAAAAAAAAAAGAGTAGGGCTCCATGGTCAAATATGTTAACGGAACAACAGGTCAAGCTAAGTTAAGTAGGTTTCTTTATTTCAGGATGTCTCTGAACATTTAATATACTGATTTAAATGGTGGACCTTCAAAAGGGAAAATACAGTGTGCAGTATTTCTAAACTTATTTGACTTTCTTTAAATAGAATAGTTATCAATATTTCTTCTGTCAAACCCAGTTGAGGAAACACTGGGATAGACTATGGAGAAGACTTCAAAATATGGTCCTCTCAACTATCCACTGTTCAATTTGCTGTATTTGGATTGCTATATCTCACTCATTATTCCCTACTGGAAAATAAATAATAGACCCATGCCAAAAATATGTGTGATGGAGGGATCAAAATCCTAGAGGGAGTTAGTTTTTATTTGTGTGTGTGCATAATTATTTCCAAAGTAAATATTCTCAAATTCATTAGTATGTGAATATATAAATTTTTTGGTTTTCTTTATCCTGTGCAATATTTTAAGGTATAATGGTTGACCTCTCAGCTGCTAACTAAAAGGTCAATGGTTTGAACCCACCAGCTTCTCCACGGGAGAAAAGATCTGGCAGTCTGCTCCTGTAAAGATTACAGCCTTGGAAACCCTGTGGGGCAGTTCTACTCTGTCCTATAGGGTTGCTGTGAGTCAGTTGAAATCAACTTGATAGCATACACAAGAACATGCAGTATTTTAGGTAGAAGCTAATCCTAGACTAAATCTTCTTGAGGAAAAGATGATGAATAATTTTTCCAGAATATTTATGGTTAATAATGAGTTATTTTTCACTCAAAAAGCACCATAGATTTAATTTTAATTTAGATTTTAATTTTTAATAGTCTCTATGGATAGCTACATTATTAATTTGGTCAGTAAACTTGGCTTTTATATGGAATAAATACATAGTAAGAAGAAAATTCCTATAATATGGCATGAAAAAATGTATTTTTGCTTTCAAGGTGCCACCAGAGAGAGCTGTACTGTTGCATTTTTTGCTGTGTCTTTTGAAACATAATTATGTTACCCACAATTATTGGCACAGGT